TCTAAATCTTAGTTTTATTAGGAGAACAAAATCCAAAACTAGAGCTGTGATTAGCTTTTTTGATAGGAAAACCCAGAATGAGACAGAATGGAAACAAACAAATGTCCCCACTGTGTCCTTGGGGAAGCAGTCCTTTCTTTCATGCTTGCTCCCAGACCAGCAAGCTGGCCACTATTCCTTAGGTTGCAACGCACTTCTGTGGTGCCCCTGGGCTCTATCGTTCCACAGCCCTGGAAGCTTGGCTAAATATCTGTTCCTCATTATTTTGGCAATTTCCAGGAAGCCGTGCTGCAGGAACCTTCGCTGCTGTCTCTCACCCACTCCCCTGCTGGCTACCCCACCCTTTGCACTAGAAACCTCTCTCCCAAGCCAGGCGGACTCTGTTGTTCCCCAAGAAAAGACCACCATTTCCCTCCAGAGCACTCCAGGATACAGCACCCAGGAGGAGATAAAAAGGCATTCTTTCTCCCTGCTCAGCCTTTTAAAGCAACATAAGATGCATTAATGTACCTGTGTATAAGAAAGTCAGGTAGTTGCAGAGACTGTTATGTTTGGCCAAGACATTTCACTACTCCAGGGCCATTTCCTCCCTCCCCCTGTGTTACTCACGTAGGTAGTAAACACGTCACAGCAGTGACTGCCTCTCGCTAGGTCATTGCACAGACCCTTGCAGAGTGGATCACCACTCCTTCTGGTGCCTTTATTGCTGTGTGATAATTGCGAGAATCCAGTAAAACCCATTTAATCCAAAAGCAGGCCCTATTTCAGCTCAGTTTTGCTGTGTGCTTCCAGAACTTCCAGTTCCAGTTACCACTCCAGAATCTTTCACACTGGGTGGTGCTGCTGGAGCAGAGGCACCGGAACTTGGGGATGAGGTGTATGCCCTCCCTCCTTTCCCACTTCCCTTGTTCCCTCCTTCCTCTCCTCCCTATCTCTTTCCTGTCCTACCCCAAAGTACTATTTTCATGGAGGAAGATGGGATATTAAAAAAAAAAAAAAATTAAATTATCAGAAATTTCAGACACTATCATATGGAGATTTATTTTCTGGCACATAACTCTTCATTTCCAGTTGACATCCACGCTTTTTTCACACTCTTGGGATGTCCAGACCACGAGGCGGCTGCATTATATAATCATAGCCAGGGCCATGAAACCAATCGGAGAAGCATATTTATTGTAGGTTCTCAGTGATGTGTTTGATGACAAGAGGCTCTGAGAAACCTTGAGTACAGAAAGCTATCAGCCCACAGTGCTGGGTAGCTGCTGTTCCAGACAGCTTTAGTCTATTCCCAATCTTTTTCTTTGTTGGTTTTTTTTTTGCTATTGTTACTTGGGGTTATTGTTTTCCTGTTGGTTAAACATTTTTATCATTTCCTCGCAGCCTTGTGATGCTACATGAGTGATTCAGCTACTTTGTGAACTAGTTTAGAACTCCTTCTTCCTTCGACACCTTCCCTTCCAAGCATAAAGACAAACAAATGAAGCAACCCATCAGACTCTATTCTTGTCTCCAACCCTCTCCAGCTGGGAAAAAGGCAGTTTAAAACAAAATAAGGCTCATCTTACCAAATAACAAATACTAGCATAATTTTGAAGAAGCGGATCTGGATCTCTGTCCCCAGACGTCTTTCATTCTCTGTGTAAATTCCTTGTCTCCCTTTCAGTAAGGAGGCAACTGGAAAGTATACAATTGTGTTCATTACTATATGCATATCTTGTTAGTTATAGGCGTAAGGATTCACAAGATAGATGTCTGTAAAGACGAAACAAAAGAATGGGTGGATTTGCCTCCAGCAGCAGATCAGAAGCTGGAAGGGAACTTCAAGATCCCATCCGAGTTGTGTACAATTCCCATTTGTTTCATAATCTCAGAATCAGGAGTGACAAAATTCTGATCACATTTCACTATTTTTCAGCTCCAGGGCTGCCAAGAAGTTAAATCAACTATCAGATCTCACCAACTTTATCTTTAGACCAGAAGAAATTACATTCTAAAATCTAGGTTGGTACCAATACCACAGTAGAGTTAAGCATCCACTATACACTGCCTCAAATGTTCTAAATCAAGAGTAATTTAGTAACATAGAAACCCCTTTGCCAATCTGCAGTAGAGTTTTATAACAGCGTGACTTCAGTACGTCAACAGTGTGTCTCTAGGGCAAATTTCCCGTCAAGATGGTATCTTCATTTCAATAGGCAACGCTCTCCCAGCCTTTGCTGTATCTTTATGATTTAATGAGGAGCTATATCACATCACTGAACACACAGGCACGACTTTTTACAGTATTGTCATGTTGCTAAACAACGCATACTGATCGATGCTGGCCATTAAGAACATACCTGCTGATACTGTCCTCCTAAACAGGATTGGGTTGACCACCAGCACTAGCAGGAGTGGGGCATAGGTTGTGATGTAATGTGGGATTGCATGCTCCAAGCCATTTTCACAGCTGAGAAGAAATCATTAACAGTTTATGCTTTTTTTTTTTTTCCACAGCTGACGGTTCTGGCTATTCTATGTCACCTTGAACTAAAAAAATAAAATGAATGAAACAAACAGATGCTAAACTTTCAATTCACAGACCTTCACCACAGTTCACATGGGAAAAAAATATTTTTAACATGCACTGTCTGCTCATTTTTCTCAAATTTAAAGGAACAAATACAAAGCTAAAACCAGGAGTGTGAGAACAGTGGCTCATAACAGAAGCTGTATCACAGCCCTGCAGCATGCCCTGGCATATTCCTTCAGGGCCCCCTGAAACCCAGGCAGGTATTTCTAGAATACTGACTGACTCAGTGGGACGCACTTACCAAAGATCAAAAAAAGCCCAATGTTTGTACGTCTGTCTCTAAAACTGACGGAAAGACATGCAAACAACCAGAAAGCGCGAGGATTTCACAAGCTGTTCCCAGAGCCCTGCTTACCTGGAGAGAGAGGGGTAGTAAAGCAGTGCAATTCCCTCCACGCAGAGCATCACCGCGAGGCCCCATGTCATCATGTGGTACAGCACAATCGTACTGCAGGCACCAGACAGGACAGGCATGATTAAAGACACTAAACCTTACACTTTCCATGTTGCAACATAAAAATAAAACACCTGCACCCTTTATTTCTCCCGCACACAGCAAATTAGGGGATTAAAATTTAAGAAGGGAGCCAAAGAGTTAAATAAACCACCCTTCCGTAATTTGCAGAGAATCTTATTTATCTTTAGAGTTGAATACTGCTCCCGTCTTAGGGAGGTGCAGATCTGTGCATGCCAAAAGCCTTTTGCTGTTTTTTCTGACCTTACAATCAGGCCCAAATGCACATGATTTTTTTTTTTTTTGGTTAACAGGGATGGGGGAAGGAGGTAAGTCACAGTTGTTTCAAACTAGAACTACAGGACTTCACAAAATTGTTCTCCACAGGCTGAAGTTAACTCAAAAATCCCCATTTTGGTAACATCTGCCAGATGAACCATGTCTCCAGTACCTGACTGCTCAGTATCATCTGGGTACGGAGATAATTCCATGTTCAGCAGCAGCAACCAAAGGTCATTTTGTCCTTCTAACAACCAACTTAGAAACACCTCAGATTTCCTGACTGGCATTATAGCACGGTACTTTCCAAAGTGTTTAGGTTCTTTCGTTGCAGGCATTGCGGAAAAATGTATAGTAAATACGTATCATTTTTCTTAAAAACTTTACAAATGTGATCAGAAGCTTAATAATGACAATACCATGAAGTGAGTAAAATAGAAAAACTGAGGGAAAAAAAAAATGGAGAATGATCTATATGAAATCCAGCACTTCCCCCTTCTTTATTTTCAGGATAACACTTTTTTTTTTGCCACAAGAATCTATTTCAAGTATGGAGTAGGGACAGAAATAGTATCTCACTGCAATAAAGTTTATACAGCCTGATCTGCTCCCTATTCTTCCACAGGCTAAATGAATTCAGTTACATTTTAGTTCCAACCGGGCATCAACAAACCAACACCTGAGTGTTGCCCCAGCAGTTTTAGCACTAAGCACACCACTCATCCCTATCATTACCTGGTAACCGTATGAAGATCAGATGTTTGCACAAGCTTCACTTATGCACTTAGATAGCTGCAGACAGACATGGACATACAGTGTTGGAAGGAAAACAATACATTCAGAGCTTTAACTCTGGTACCTCAGTCCAGCTGATCTTCTTACCACCAAGTAAGAATCAACAGCATAGCAAAACAACCACCAGAAGCCAGCACTATACAACAGCTGAATCCACATCTGCAGGGAAAAAAAATGCCAAATGTCACAGCTGCTTCTCAAGTACCACTGGGGACAGGGGAGGGACTCGAAGCTTTAGCCTGGTGATTTGTTCTTTACATCTGCGTATTTTCCAGCTGAGATTATGAAGTACGAAATCTTACTCAAAATCACAGGAACAGCGTTGCTGTAGCCAATGGGTCAAGTCATGGGTAAATTGAACAGCATTTGCTTTCCCAGCTTACTCTGTTGCTTAGAAAACCTGTTATTTACTTCTCCTGTCCTAAACCTCAATGTCACGAGTGAAGCCCAGAGAACTTTATTGTAAGGATGTTTTAATTTAGGTTAAAACTTTAGCAGGTTCTCAGTAGCTGAGGCATGAAAATATGACTGAGGTCAGTCACCACCACAGTGTGCCTATGCATCGTGGGTTCTGCACACGACGAGCATTTTCTCCATGCACAAGAACCCGATTCAGCAAATGGTTATTAAGAAAAAAAAGGCTATTAACAAAAATATCACTCATGCTCTGGAAAAATTATCCATTCTGAACTCCCTTACTGATTTCTTCAACGAAAATACAAAGGAAACAGGTCCAAGTTAAGTTAAATTCCACAGTGTTCATGAGCGGATCCTATGCATTTTTTCCCATGAGTCTATATGAGATAAGTGACCTTTCTTTGCCGCTGTTTATAAATTCCACATTTCTTCCCTATAGGAGCTGGCTCTTTGTAATAGTCTGGAACTATTTCAATATTCAGATTACCTTCCCTCCAAGCCCTGTTCCTGTTCTTATCTGAATATCCTTTATCATGGCTCCATAGTAGCATCATTTTACAGCTGGAAACCAACATACTTGTTACTGAGCCAAACATCAGTGAACAGAGATCTACCATTCCTTCCTCCACAAAGCAAATCAAGCTGGGAAATACTTTCTTTCACCATGGGTGTAGAACCTACCTCTAGTTATTTGCAGCACAAATTATTCAGTACTAATTCAAACACCATGACATTTTCCTAGTGCACAAAAGGCAGAAAATAAAATCCTAGTCTTTCTTCTAATGCACTTTATCCATAGCAGTCAGCATGTAACTTCATCTGCACTTCCACATACTTGCTGCCATTGAAAAATACACATTTACTATACATACACACACACACATACATACAAAAATAAACTGCAGGGTCTCTCCACTCAGAAAACCCAACATAGACAAGACTGTCTCCAACAATAATATAAATCAGATGTACTTAAAACCAAAATCTTTATAAGTTATCTCACTTTTTAGCAAAATGACACATCTTGCTACAGTGCCTGAGAGGGGTAGTTCTCTGCAAACCAGAGGGTGTTATTCAAAGCAGATTCCTAAAGGCCTCACTATTTGGAGTTTGTATTGGCTTGTGGTTAACTGAAATAAAACAATAGTACTCAAAGAAAAATAAAATAGAATCAGAAACATTTTATTAACTCACACAATAATGTGTTAGGGGAAGTGAGTGGAAGGAGGGTTATTTTTCATTTCAATGCAATTAAGTCTAAAGTTAACAAGTGACTCAAATTACAGCACATTGCTGGAGCTCAAGAAAGGAAAAATAAAAATTGTGGTAGACCACTATGCTGCTCACCATCTAACCTGAAATCCAAACAAACAATCTGCACACAGTATCTTTGTCACTGTTTAAAAATACGATTTTTTGTGTTAGGGGCCAGAAAGTGAAATTTAAGACATAAGGAAACATGGTTTGTGAATAGGACATTCTTGCTTCAAGATATTGATGTCTCTTCCTCAAAGAAAAAAAATCAACATTTTCATCTAATAAGCAAAACTTGAACATGTATGACGTAATTGAGAATCGATAGATGCATATAGCTGATACTTGCTTCTATGGCACAACACTATCATGTCTGAAATCACCATTTATATAGTCATATAAGGTACGGCATCAGTTTGGCACATGCTGTTTTATTTAAAAATTACTGTAGCCAAACAAATTTGTTTACACGCAGCATATCCTCTTCTACATTGTAAAATTTGAATTGTAAAGCTAAATACTGTTATTGCTCATGCATGAATTCATCAGGCACCCTACATTCCTATTGAATTTGGGTAAAATGATGATCTGTCTTATTTGACATTCTCCATGTTTAGGTCAAAAACATGACCTATTTTCTTGTACAGTAAACTCAAACTATACGTCTCAATACTGTGACTGTAATATTTGAAACTGAGTTGTAATCTGCAGTTTTGGAATGCATTTACATTTTCTTCTTCTTGCGTTTTAATCCAGAAGATACTTAATTAGACTTGGCCAGATGCAGTCACTGAATGCCCATATAAACAGCAATCTGAGCTGTAGTCCTACATGGCAGGGTCAGACCTTCTGCCAGCAGCTTTGCATCTTTGGGCATAGTCATCCTGCAGTCCCTCTGTCTAAAATACACACTCTCATGCCACAAAGGCAAATTTGAGATACCCGAGTTGCTGGTTTCAGTCAGACCCCACTGCCACCGCGCAGGCTGTAACTTCCGCTGGAGAAGGTGGGCAGATACCCTCGTGCTACAGGTGTGACAGAGCCAGCGGGGCATTAGCGATGCTGTGCCAGCACAAAGCAAACCAGTGGTTTCACAGCCCATGCGGGAATATCTATACTCTTATGCCTCCACACCCCTGACTCCGGTACAGGTGTGCCTTCCGCTACCCCAGCACTCCTGCAACGAGTGGGTACTACAAAACTCTTGGAACCAGCCCGCCCCACGCTGCCCTGCGTCCTCATCTGCACTGTGAAGCATTTAGCACCCTGCCTGCCCTGATCCAGGCTTTCGGAGGGAGGCATGAACGCACTTGCAGGGGTGTGGCAGAGGCTGAAAACATCAGATCCAGGCTCTAACTCACAGCCAAATTTCCTTTTGGACACAGTGGGTTTGCCTTTCAGACTTCCCACGCGCAGGGACTGTCAACCAGGAGCAGGAGGAAGGGGCAACGATCTCTGTACCTACCGCGCTCCCCACGCAGAAAGCGGAAGGCCACATGTCCGTCCTGTTCACCACCGAAATGTTAGCTATGAAGCCTGGGAAGCCTAGCCATACGCTTGACCTGAAGATAATACCTAAAGAAAACAACATATTAATGCTTTGAATCTGCTGGAGTGATTTGAGTCACATGCTTCTCCCCAGCCACATAGTTCACATCGCAGCCCAGATTTTGTGCGTCCGCAGGAAGGCTATGGCTGCAGAGGAGAACAGCATGAACAACTGCGCTATTTAAACATCGGTCTAAGTGCTCATGGAAAGTAGCCCCAAGAGTCTGAAGCTGCTGGGACTTGAAATGTTATGTAGATTAAAATCTCACTTACTCACAGATACTGTCACACGCTTCCCTAAAATAAAATAAGTAGCATTTAACAGATTGACATAAACCAGTAACTAACTATTTTACCAGCATATATTCATGTGCTAATGTTCATTTCTCTATAATCCCTCATTGCAGAAAAAAGTTATTTCCCACTTTTCACTGTCTTCATTTTTACGAGCAGCTCTTTTCCTCTGTGTCACAGGACTGAACAAAGCAGGCCTTGGGAATTAGGTGTGAACAACACCCATGTTTTTAAATGAACTTACGGTTTGTTAGTTAGATTTGCTGGGTTTGCTTGAAATAGGCATTATAGCATCAACAAATAGCAGAATAAAGCCACGTTTCCCACCAAAGGACTGTTTCTCACTCACCAAAGTAAGTCTAACTCAAAGACAGTGATGGATAAATAGTTTTGAGTTTGACAGAGAAAGAGAAACGGAGAAAAATAACTTTATCTACTGCTGGCCTCATCTGACTGAAAGGATGTTTCTCCATATCTCTGTTTCTTTATTTCACCCTACATCATTTGTTTTAATATCGGTACTCATTGTGCACCATGAGAGAACCTGGCTAAGTATGAAAGGGGAAAGATCTGAAATCCTAGTCCCTCCCCAGGCAGCGAGAGAGACTTACAAAACAGCGCTACTTCTGTTACCTAATGAGGGAAAAAATGTTATTGTAGAAACAAACTCATCCTGTATTTTCACGTGTTGTGGTAATTTATACCTAATTTGGCAGCAAATCCCATAGACTGACAGGAGAGATTTTAGACACATTAGTTTCATTTTGACTCATGAGGTTTTTGTTTTACTCTCTGTTGTTTTATTCCTCCAGCCTATCAGCCAGGGGCCGGGCAGCAGGTTGTCCTTGATAAGGGAGCTTCGCTCACATTTCAAAAGCCTGTGTCCAGCATGATCTGTGTACAGCTGTGATTCAAACTCATTTGCTGTCGATGTGATGTGCGCAGAGAAGAGGCTGTCACATGAACAAGATGGAAAACTTGGTCTGAGAGGATTTAAAGACACATAGGAAGTACTTTTCAAATGTAGTCCTAAATCAGCTTTAGTTTTAAATGTGCTGCCTCACCTCCACTTTTATGCCTTACTCTGAGAACCAGCCACTGTTCTGGATTTTAATTTGTTTTAAAGCAGAGATTTTGGTGTAGATTTATCAAGAGCTTTTAATTCTAAAATACAACTATTAAATGAGACCTTTCTCCCCCAAAGGCCCATCATTTCCCAATCTCACTTAGTCCAAATCTTCCTGTGAATACATACAGCATGTTTCCTTCAGAAATCTCTGTTGTCCACTCAGCAGCTTCATTTAGCTACGGCACCTCAGAGCAACAAGAGCCTGCTCCAGGAAAGGTGAGGGACAGCAAGCTGGCGCTTACCTAAGCCACCAAGGATGTCACAGATGGAGATAAGAAGAAGGATGGTGGAAGAGGAGGAGGCTTTGGGCATCTTCCGCGGGCTCTGTCCCTTCTTCGGCAGGAGCTGCAGGATGGTCAGTAGCAGACTGACGGAGGCGCTGCCAATGCAAACTCCGCAGAAGACTTCAGGCTGGAAGTTCATCACTAGCTGTGTAGCTGCATCCCGGTTCGGGCAGCAGTAGGTTTCTAACCTGGGAGAAGCCATGAAGCATCCAGCTGGTGGAGGGGCCCCAACGAGCAGGAGAAAATGCTGTTGCTTCCCCAAGGTAGCGTTCACTTTTTCTTCACCCTCCCCATCAGTCCTCGGTGGTGAGAATCACGCGATTGATGGATCATGTGCTGCTGCTAGAAGTAAATCCCCTAGAGCTGCCTTTCTCAGCCTCTCCTAGCAGGCAGATCAGATTCAAACAAGAAAACACAGTGTAATCTGAAACATGCCCCATGCTTGCTCAGAGCCATTGGCAACAGTTCACTCACATATTTCTGCTTGCACAGTATGTGATGCAGGAAGACTTAAACTCATCAGAGCACTGAAGATGGTTTAAAATAAGTAAGGATGCAGATACCAAGGCAGAAGCATCACATTTTAATTGTGTTTCTCTTTAGCCTCATCCCACACAGCACCCTTTAATTACTGCAAATTAATTAAAAAGATGAGTCCAGACACAAAGCAGCCCCAGCCTTTAAAGGGAGGAGCAGGGCTATAAATCCACACCCTAACCCAGTCTCAATTTTAGTGATCCAACCCACCCATCTCTGTAATTAAAATTAGAAACATGATATCCTATCACTGTAGAAAGAGATTACATTTAAGAAGACAATATTAACCTCACCCTATTTAAACTGCAAGCACAAAGTCTTTTCTTTAGTCTGTACTGTCTGCATCGGATCAGCTTGACACGGAAAATTCCAGGACTTTTGATGTCTCAGGAATATTTTTCTTTTCTCTTTTTATTTGGAAAGGGTTTAATATGAAAACAGGAATCTGACCTGTAATATTTGTTTTTACTTTATAAGCTAGACAATATCTTTTAAGTCAGGGGTCCTATTAGACACAGCAGTGAACACTCAAAACCCTAAATACAAAAAGTAACTCTCTCCCTCAGCTGAGTTTCAAAGTCCCTGCATCAGGCCTCACCCCTCCAGAAAACTTGTTTGTCGGAACACGTTCAGGAAATACTGGGGGGAGCATTGCCAACAGACTTAAAGTGAACTGGATGTTAAATAACACAGTCATGGATTTTATAATTAGTCCTTATATGAAAAAATGACCTAACCTTATATTTATTTTTTTTCCAATGGCCCGGCTTATTTTTTTAGCAGAAATTTTGAAGGCCTGAGAAATGACAGTGGGATGTTTTGCATGCAGGGGTTACAGAATCATAGAATCACAGAACCACAGAATATCAGGATGGAAGGCACCTCACCAACCATCTGGTCCAACCTTTCTTGGCA